CGTAAAACATCAACAAACAAACAAAAACATCGCCGCGAGAAAAAATTTGTTGAGTATGTATGACGATTGGAGACACTTATGTTATTAATGTGCTCAGGTAATTAGACCTAATAAGCTGCGGATGGTCTAAAAGAAGGTTGTCTGAAATTTAATGAAGAAAAAACTGCCCTGCTACTCCAAAAAGGTGCCCTGTGAAGGCAAAAAAAAAGCCCGTAGATAAATCTTTACAACTTTCTTTTGAAAATTAAAAGTTTAATTTGCTACATTTACTTTTTTACAATAAATATATGCTGCAACTGTTTTTCAAAACGCCTTAATATGCTTATTACGTATTTCAAGAAAAACGCAATTAAAAAAAATGTTTGGGAAAACTCTTTGTAAAACGATTTTTAAAACGATATGTATAAGCTTATTACGCATTTCAAGAATAAGGCAATTTTAAAAAAAAATTGTTTGGAGAAACTCTTTGTAAAATGTTTTTTAAAAACTTTCTTTAGTTTTTTTTTCTTTTGTGCAATTTTCTTTGCAATAAATTTTTTTTACTTTTCAGAATATGACTATTTTTAACAATGCTTTAGAAAGAATATCAGCAAATTGATTTGTTGTATTTTAATTATATTAGTTAGATTAAATTACATATATTAAATTTTATATTATATATTATATTAAATAGATAAATTAATTGATATACAGTTAATACATATGTATTTTTTTTTGCCATATGTATTTTTTTCTGCCCATAGACCTGTGCGGTCTATGGGCAGAACCCCATAGACCGCACAGGAGGCCCAACATATTTTTAATAATTATCAAAGTTAAGTAATTACGAATAACAATAATTATAATCGTCACAGTTGAATGCGTTCATGAAAAACTTGAGTAGTTTTGCTTTGAGATGTTAGAAAAGTTGTAAAAGATGTTTGAAAAGTTTTGTTTTGAGATGTTAGAAATTAGATTTCGTATTTTTTTATTTAATTTTTATAAATGAATTTTTGAATAATTTGATAAAGCTAAGAGTATATCAAATTGAGAAAACTCAGATCGTAAGTAAAAAAAAATGCCTACACAGTATGCAAACGCGCAACAAAATCATCAAATAATCTAAGCTACGACAATTGTAAAAAAAATATACCTAGAAAAATGTAGCCCTAAAAGGGGAAAAACCATTTTTTTCACTAAGTGTAATTTTGGTGTAATAACATTTTTAAAAATTATAAATAACAATAAATTTTTTTCTATTTATAGAAAAATCAATTTATAGCTTAATGATGTGGTTATTGAAAAAAACTGCTAAAAAAACACATTCCGTTTTTATTTTCATATAACATTAATTCGAACGTTACGGGGGCGGTTATGCCCCACTTTCCTTATGGCGGTTATTGTTGTTAAGGTTGGTTAGTAGGCTATTAATATATAAGCTAATCAGGGTTTTGAATAAATTATAAACTAATTAGGATGATTTTATTTTTAAACCTAATAAATAGGATTTCTTCAAACTTTGATATCTTTGATATTAAAAAAAATGACCATTCCAATAATTATGGACGATAATGTATTAAACTTTATTTTGGAACTACAATCTGTAATGATTTGTACTTTATGTAAACGAAAGTCTATGCAAATGTCTAATTATGTAAACTTTATATTCTTTAATTAGTAATCAGTATTATTATAAAGTATATGACATCAAATTTTACCGATTTATTTTTACTTAAAATTTTCATTGTGGTAATATCTATATTTTAAAGCATTTTTTTGCCGTTTTATAAAGACTTCTGTTTATTAAACAGTGTATCAAAAAGATAATATAGCATTCCAAGCGGTTGAAGCGCTTTGCTTGGGTTCAAATCATTTTGCTTACAAAATAATTTTTAAAATCTTTTCCAATTTTCTAGAAAACAAAGAATAACATATTTAAAGTCTTTAATAAAGGTCTATAGATGTTATATGCATTACATATGAATAAAGATATTGTATACTATAACAAACCAAAGGGAGAGAATTTTTTAAAACGTTTTTTAAAATTTCTAAAAACATGAAAACACTGTTGAAAATTTGTTGCGCATATATCATGATGGAGATACTTATGTTTTAGGTAATGAGTTAAGTCTGCGCGTTTAACATACATTAAAGAGATTTTTTTTTCTTATTTAAAAACAAGATTTTACATAGAGTCCTAATAAGTACCGAATGGTATGAAAAAAAATTAAATTCTGAAACCTAAAAAAAAAAAATTTAATTACTCCAGAAGGCGACATATAGAAAACCCAAAAATGTTAAAACTACGTCATAATTTTAGTTTTGCCTAATCCAATAATAGAAATGCTCAAATATAAGATATAAATTTTAAATGATTTTAGGATTACGAAGTATACGCCTACTCTTAAACGACTGTAAAACTAACTAGCGGCTATTTAATTAAATCCACCAAATCCCTTAATAAAAATAGCTTCAAATAAATATAAATAAAAATAAAAATAGATTCAAAATCATCTGATTTTTGCCAACTATATTCTGAAACCAGTAAAACTCGGCCATGTAGTATCTTCCTCTTCATATCGATAATAACAGAAAGCAACGAGTGACGACAAATAAGTTTCATTTATAAGTTTAATTATTGTAATCTTCATTTAAAAAATAAATCTTAATTTAGAATTAACATGTTAATATGTTTTTGACCCAAGAATAAACAATAAGATTAGATTTTAGAAATGAGCAGCCAAAATACAGCAGGTTAGACTATTTTTTTAATTTTTTATAACATTAATTAATTAAAGAGATAAAAGAGATGATACGTCAATAACACTGAGAGATTTTATTAAGAGATTACATTGAGATAATTTTGTATATCTTTAGGCGTTAGGCGACGAAAAAGATTCAGGATTTTTTCAAAGTATGCCACTATATAATTATTTATACTATATATAGCAGTAGTTGCATATGTTCTAAAAACGGCGGAGGTGTTCTTGATTCACGTATGAACAAAACGATGATTTATTTTAACCGTTTTTTAATTAAAATCAAACAAGATATGCCATTCTCCCTTAACCCCGTGAATCAAGTACATCTCCGCACTAACCTTTAACTAAAATTAAAAATATTTAAAAAGGTTTTTAGGACTCAAAGATGTATATATATAGACTTAATATATATATATATATATATATATATATATATATATATATATATATATATATATATATATATATATATATATATATATATATATATATATATATATATATATATTTGAGCCGTAACACTTGCGGCCAGGGGGGCATTAGCTCCCGCAAAAAAATATTAAACTATAATTATTAGAGAAAAACATTTATTTTGAACAAATATTTTATCCCCTCCCTCCTTTAAATGAACTATATGCTATAGTTTTTGGGGTTGGGGGTTTTTTCCCTGGTTATTTTTGGCCTCTCCCTATCTCTGGGCCCCTAAGATGGTACCTAAAAATAAAAAAAAAATAATAAAAAAAGGTCCTTATATATACATATCTATATATATATATATATATATATATATATATATATATATATATATATTTATATATATATATATCTATATCTATATATATATATATATATATATATATATATATATATATATATATATATATATATATATATATATATATATATATATTTATATATATATATCTATATCTATATCTATATCTATATATATATATATATATATATATATATATATATATATATATATATATATATATATATATATATATATATATATGTTTTTACTAAGAACATGACTTATTGTTTTGGTTTTATATAAAAAAAATCAATTTTTTCAAATTAATTATTTAAAAAAAATATAAAAGTTAAAATTACTTAATTTTAGGATAATAAAGTAATTTAAAGTTTCATAGCTATAATAACTATATAACTTATAACTATATAAGTATATATAATAACTATATAACTATGTAACTATATAAGTTTTCATAGCTTTTCAAAATTATTAGAAGGAGAAATATAGACAAATTTTATGAGGAATAGAGATCAAATTTAATGAGGAATTCTCTGTTTATGAGAAGAAAAAAATTACTTTATAAATCTCTTATAAGATCCACTTATATAAGATACTCTTATAAGTTCCTTATACGGAAAAGATGTGCATGTTAATTTTTTCAAAATTTAATTGAGAAATGAAAGTTGAAATTTTGAAAGTTAAAAATTTTAAAAAAAATATGAGAATATAGTTTCAGTAAGAAAAAATTAAATTACTTTTGTTTGTATTCGTAAAAATATTGGATATACATGATTTCTGCATATGATTTCCTTATAGTTTTTATAATATATTTTAAAAATATATTGATATATTTTTATAATATATTTTTATAATATATTTAAAGATACAGTAATATTTAAATATTGAAGAGGTACAAGTTATATCTGAAACAAGAGTAATTTTACTGTTAATAATAATTTTTTGTAGATTTTTTATCACTTTAAATAAATTTTATTTTATTCAAATTTTTGAATGTTCCCCAACAAGAAAATTCGATGCGCGTCATATGTGATAGTAATACTCGATTAAAGGAATGGCGTAGATGTGGGCTTTGTATGCTTATAGAATTTAAAATACTTAAATTGTATAAGTATTTTAGCCAAATATAACTGCTAACTAAGTTATATAATTGTTATAGTCTCTCTTGGCCCACATTTACGCTACACAATCACGCCATATTTAACAGCACACGTGGCCCTCATTAAACTTTCTTGTCGGGTGATATTTATAGCTTTTTTATATTAATAGTTTTAATTTGCAAAAATAAAGAAATTTGAATAATATATACTATCATGAGAAAAATTTATTATTAAACATATTTAAATAGTATAAAAAACACTAAGAAATTTTTATTTTTATTTTTTTGTTATTTATATTTTTGTATAAAAGTATTTAGATAATAATAAGAAATAATTTTTTATTTACTAAACTTAAAAAAAGCAAAAATATGTGACATATTTTACCTAAAAGATATGGAGACATGACATGACTTTATTTTAAGGTTTTTAACAATCACGTGTATAAATTGTTGATGATGTAAAAGTATCAGCTATACTGTTTGTGCTAAAATACAAATTAGGTCAGTATCATATCATTTTATAAATAATTTTTTTGTAATAACGTTAATAAATAAAACACAAGAGAAACATAAAACTTTTCTACACCATAAGAAAAAGCAAAATATTCCTTACTATTTAATTCTCTATTTCATATCGTGGCAACAAACTAGTAAATAAAAATCAATAACAATGGAACAAACTAATAACTAAAAATCAATCAATTTGTAATCCAGTTAATATTCATTAACTGGATTACAAATTGATTATTAATCAAAATTCTTTAAAAACAAAGTTAAAAAATCTGATTCTGAATTTACACAAATACTCAGAATTTTTTAAGATGATAGTGTAAATAACATGTAGATCAACTACAAAGTTGAATGTATCCCGTAAATGACCTTTGCCTTTTTCAAACATAACATTCGGAAAAAAGTTAATTTTTCCAAAGAAAAAATTTGATTTTTTTCTTTAAAAACTTTGGTGCATCTTGTTTCGTTTAATTTTTATTTAATTTTTATTTTATTACAATTTAAAGAATGATAAAGTTTACTTAATATATACTTATATTTAAGTTAAATACATTCTAAGGGCTAACAAGTTAAGATTATTACGATCTTCTTGAAGTCCTCCCCGTACTAATTTAACCATAAATTCTATTTTACTATTTAATCATACAAATTATAATCTTACTATAATCTAGTAATACTATTATAATCATACCAAAATCGTAATATTTTAATTTCTAACATTCTCTCACGAAACTTGTAAACATTTCACCTTTAGTTTACAAAACTTGTAAATGTTATATGTACGGAGAAATAAGAATAAAATAAAATTAGATTAACTTTAATTTTAACCAAAAGCTTTACAGGTTTTATTTGAGGTGCCTATAAGACTTTTTTTATAAGTATAATTTTTTATTGCTGCCGTGTTATAGTTAAAGTTGTTTGAGGGAAAAATTTTTGAGAGTAAAAAATAAAAATTATCCTTTAAATAATTCTATGTAATTTTACCCATTTGCAACAAGCTCTTGCTGTCTCCTCAAAATGATTGCTACCTACATTGAATACATTATTCTTAAATATTTTTTACTTGTATAATCTTTTTAAAACAAATTTTGTTATTATATCCTTTTGACAATAATATTACTTATTTTTTGTGTATTATGTTTTATGTTAAGTATTATGTTGTATTTATATAAATAGAGCATGTTATCACTACATGGTAGTATTATTATGCTGTAATTATATACTTGTTATGCCGTATGTATATATCTATTATACTGTATGTATATACCTATTATGTTGTATGTATTATGTATATAGAGATGCCGTGACGCAGTAGTAGCGCACTTGCCTCAAAAATAAAGAATTTGTGGTTTAAGCCCCACCTCTGAGAATGTTTTGCGACATCAGTTAGGAAGGAGGCGTGAACTTTTAATTAAATGCTCATTCGCGGTGCTCTGTAAGACCGTAAGGACTTCTTGGAGCACCTAAATATAGTTATTAAAAAAAATAAATAGCTTATACTGTTGTATCTATTGCTCTGTATATATATATATATATATATATATATATATATATATATATATATATATATATATATATATATATATATATATATATATATATATATATATATATATATATATATATATATATATACCTATTATATTATATTTAAATACCTATACATTTTTGGTTAACCCAGCATTGAATATTATTTTTGGTCACTAACTACTTGGTATATGCTCCATGTATAACTATAGATAAATAATTTTTTTTAAACATAATTTCTGAATGTTTTTTGAAGTTATTCGCGCCTTCTTTACTCCACCTTTGGTATGGATTATAATGGTTTATATAAAAATTTAATCGATTATTTGTATTATCCACGAGAACCGATACCACTACCATTTATTGGAAATGGTGATTTGATAAGAAAAGCAGAACCGTTTAAAGAGTTGGTTAACCTGGAAAAAAAATATGGCGATGTTTTTAGTTTTAGGATTGGTTTAGTCAGATTTGTGGTTGTTTCAGTTTAGAAGTAATTTTAGAAATACTAGTAAAAAAAGGGTGGCAGCAAATGGTCGTCCAAAAGCTCCAAGTAAGTAAAACTTTTCTAAATACAACAAAAACATAATTTAAATCTATCTATTAAGTAATAGTTTTTAATAGCTTTTCAACTTTTTGCGGTTATAATTATAAAGTAAAAAATTTGCAAAATCAAAATTGGTTTGTTTAAATTTACAATTGTTTTATCAACAGAAAAATATTTAAAATAATAAAGTTGAGTTTTTATTAAGTAATATGCAATACAACATGGTTCGTCAAGAATTACTCTCTTTGCTTGCAGCCACTTAAATGATACTTAGAGATTTATTGAGTTGATTTCGGGCATAAACTTGAAAATTTTTTTTAGTGGTGTGAGACCACTAAAAAAAGTTTACTTGATGGTCCAATACTTAAATGCAGAATTTATTTTTGTACCACGGTATGGAATTCGGGGTAGATACAATGGCGGAAACTTTTCCGTTGGAAAAAATTCCGGGGTAAGTTGGCACAAAATAAAAATGATTGTTCATTATTATTAGGTGCAAAATTTATACAATTTTTTTTCCTATTTCAAATATATATATATATATATATATATATATATATATATATATATATATATATATATATATATATATATATATATTATATATATATATATATATATATATACATATTTGGTAAGATTTTTGCCTATTTATTATTGTAGTGGATTTTCAGTGAACCTATGTAGACATTTTGCACGGAGTTTTGCTCATTGATTTTTAAAGTTGATCGTTTGTAGCATCTACTATAAATGGTCAGCCGTACACTTTTCAACATGTGGTATAGTGGTTAGCAATTGGCTAACCTCATTTGGCGACTGTCACTCATTAGTGGCAGGTCCATTAAGTAACCGATTAACAAAACTACAGTGGACCGCTCAAAATTCTAATATAAGTCCACTTAAATTCCTCTATAAAATGTTTGCTGGGAACATTGAAAAAAATGTATAAAAAATAATAAATCAATGGTTTAATGGAATCTTTGCTTTAATTTTTATTTATTTATTTGACCATCGTTTTTCCATCTAAAATAAAAAAGCAACGGTGATCTAAAAGTTATGCTTTTTTTTGTAGATTCTTTATTAGTTTTTATAAATCTGTTTGAAGGAACTTTCTTTTTGTAAAATTCAAATTACATTTCAGCATTGTGAACAATATTTGTATGTATAGTTACGCCCTGATTATTTTCCACATCCATAAACCTTTAAATTTTCTTTCTGGCATAACAAAATTATCATCATTGCTGTCATTTAATCCATCATCATCAAGGTCGTATGTAATATTATTGGTTGAAATTTGGAGTTCTATTGATTGATATCTGACAATCTTTTTGAAAAAAAAAACTCCTTTTTTAAGTCTTTTTTAGTTTAAACTGGCGCGTCATTTACGTAAGTGCTAAGCCATTTTGGATGAGCTTTTTACCATTTTTTAATATTTAAACAAACCTATCAAGATATCGTTTGAGCCTTAAAATAAACGAATTAAATAACGTTATAAAAACCACTTATCAAGTTCAAATGACGATTTTGAAAAAAAGTTTGCTTAAAAATTACTTTTGATATTTACAAATGTTAGAAAAAACAAACAAAAATTTATTTTTATTATTCTAACTTTTCCATCAAAAATTTTCCAAAATAAAAAAAGATATAAGTTTAAAAAAAGAAATCATATAAGAAACATATTAAAAAAACTTTTATTTATCGTTTTGCGAGAACAAGAATATTTAGGGGCCATCCATAAAGGACGTCATCTAAATAGGGGGGGGGGGGGGGAGGGGGGTCTAATTAAAAGGACAAAAAAGAAAAAGGGGATGAGGGGGGAGGTTTTCAGAAAAAGACGTCACTTTATATGTGTTTTGAGATAATAATGTATGAGATTATTTTTAATTTTATTTTTCAAAGGTGTAGCAGCAGATTCAAACATCATTGCAAGATGAAATAAATTTTTTTGGAGTTAAAAAAAGTGAAGGAGGATGGGGGGTCAGGATTTTATGACGTCCTTTTCCAGGAGGGTATAGGGGAAAAGGACAACAGGTGACAAAGGAGGGGAGTGGTAAAATATTGCCTAAAAAATGGTGACGTCCTTTATGGATGGCCCCTTATTTATTTATTTCTTATAACAATCAATAACAAAATAATTACTAAACTATTTTAAAAAATTATTAAAAAAAAAAAATTATTAGCTAAAAAATAGTACGCGTTAAATTTTATTTTATATTAGCGCCTCTTTTAATATTTTAATTTTTCGTTTGTTTGTTTTGTTATAATGATTGATTTTATCAAAAAAAAAAAAAAAAAAAAATTTTTTTGATGGATACAACTAAAGTTGTTAACAAGGCTAAAAATTGCAAGACCAAAAATAGCAAGGCTAGGGCTATATGTTCCAAGGCCAAGACCAAGGCCAAATGTTTCAAGGCTAAAATGTCAAGACCAATTATTTCAAGTACAAAAGTTTCAAGGCCAAGGACATGGTCTAGGCCACAATTTTTATTTTTATTTTATTTTTTTATTTTTTTATTTTACAACTTTAAAAAAATTCACACATCGTTACGTTATAACTACATGACATAATATAATGCAACGTAAAAAATATAACATAATAATACCACGTATGACGTAGCATAATAAAAAGTGGTTTAACAAGTATAACTAAGTATAGCGTAAATTAATAGCGTTTTTTAACATAAAAATTACCAATATTTTTAAAAAATAAAAGAATAAAAATAAGAAAAGAAAAAAGAGGCAAGAAATTTTTTGTTACTTCAGATATATACATGTTGTTATAAAGGAAAACTCTATATACTCTATACTCTATAAAGACTTATCATCGAGTACCTCTTTAAATGGTTAAATAAAGTCTATTTCATTTTTATATATACTCAAAAGTGATTAAACAATATACAGTAAGTGATTTTTTTACACATAAATATTTTTTAAAATGTTATATTACAAAATCATTTAATCAAGTATTAATTAATAAAGTATTAATTAATACTTCTATGTTTTTTTAACGTTGTGTCAACGTTAGCTCAACGTAAGAATAATACGTTTAAAAGATTACGTTGACTTA